ATGGTAGGGATGGTCAATTTCACAATATTAATTCTTCCAATCCATGCACATGGGAGGTCCTTCCATCTCCTGGTTTCTTCCTCAATCTCTTTCTTTAATGTTTTAAAATTTTCATTGTACAGATCTTTGGTGTATTTGGTCAGATTTATTCCAAGATATTTATTTTTTCTTGCAGCAATTGTGAATGGGTGCATTTCCCTGTATATTAGAAAGGCTACTGATGGGCTGGAGAGATGGCTCAGCAGTTAAGAATACTGACTATTCTTGCAGAAGACCCGGGTTTGAATCCAAGCACCCACAGGGCGGATAACAACTGTCCGTAACTCCAGGTCTAGGGGGATTTGATAGCCTCTTCTGTCTTTCACGGGCACTGCACAACATGGGTGCACTTACCTACAAGCAGGCAATACATGAATACACATAAAATAAAAATAGTTTAAAAAAAAAAAAAAAAGAGCTGGGCGTGGTGGCACACACCTGTAATCCCAGCCCTTGGGAGGCAGAGGCAGGCGGATCTCTGTGAGTTCGAGGCCAGCCTGGTCTACATAGTGAGTTCCAGGACAGCTGGGGCTACAGGAGACCCTGTCTCAAAAAGACCAAAAAAAAAAAAAAAAAAAAAAAAGGGCTACCGATTTTTGTAGACTGGTTTTATAACCTCCCACTATACTCAAAGTGTTGATCAGTTCTAAGGAATTTTCTGGTGGAACTTTTGGTATCTCTTAGGCATAGTATCATATTATCTGCACAAAGTTTGACCTCTTCTTTTCCAATTAGCTCTCCTCTAATTTCCTTTGGTCTTATTGCTCCAGCAAGAGTTTCAAGCACTATGTTGAAAAGGAGTGGAGATAGTGGACAGCCTTGTGTGGTTCCTGATTTTAATGGGAATGCTTCCAGTTTTTCTCCATTTAGAATGATGTTGGCTGTGGGTTTGTTATATATGGCTTTAATTATGTTGAGGTATGTTCCCTCCAGTCCAATTCCCTCTAGGACTTGGAACATAAATACATGCTGAATTTTGTCAAAAGCCTTTTCTGCCTCTATTTCATTTGTTCTTGCCTTTACAGTGTCTTGAATTGCAGTGTTAGGTCATTTATTTGGGCTCTAATTGTTTTAATGTAGGCACTTTGAGCTATAAATTCCCTCTTAGGACTGCTTTTAATGTGTCCCAGAGGTTGTGTTGTGTTGTATTGTACTTTTTGTTGAATTCCAGGAATTCTTTATTTCTTTCTTAATTTCTCCTTTCACTCACTCATTATTTAGGAGTGTGTTGTTTAATCGCCATGAGTTTGTGAGTGATTAGGGCTTTGTCCAGTGTTGATTTTATCTTTATTGCACTGTGGTCTGATAGAATGCATGGAATTAATTTTTTTGTATTTGTTGAGGTTTGTTTTGTGGCCCAGGACATGGTCAATTTTTGAAAAAGTTTCATGGGGTGCTGAGTAGAAAGTGTACTCTTTGGTGCTTGGTGGAATATTCAAAAGATGCCAGTTAGTTCCATTTGATGTATGGTATCATTTAATTCAGACGTCTCTCTGTTTATTCTTTGTCCAGATGACCTGTCTAATTGGAGACAGTGTGGTATTGAAGTCCCCTACTATTACTGAGTTGAGGTAATCTGTGTCTTAAAAGTGCTGTAGTGTTGTTTTTATGAATTTGGGTGCGCCAGAGTTTGGTGCATATATGTTAAGAATTGTAGTATCTTCTTGGTTAACTGTTCCTTTGATCAGAATGAAGTGACCCTCCTTGTCTCTTCTGATTTGTTTTACTTTGAAGTCGATTTTGTCAGATATTAGAATTGCAACCCCTGCTTGTTTCTTAGTGATATTTTCTTGGAATATTCTTTTCCATTCTTTTACCTTAAAGTAGTGCCTATTCTTGACAGTGAGATGGGTTTCTTGCAGACAGCAAACAGATGGATTTTGTTTCTTAATCCATTCACTTAGCCTGTGTCTTTTGACTGGGGAATTCAGTCCATTGGTATTTAAGGTTATTACTGAAAGATGTGCACTGGTTGCCAATCATTTTGATTGCTGTTTGTGTTCTCTAATTTTGTGTTACCTAGATTATACCCTTTATTTTCTTTTGTTTTCCCTGGGGTATAGTTGTTTCTCTCTCTGCTCTCTGTATTGCTTCAAGTATTCTTTGAAGGGCTGGTTTTGTGGACATGTATTCTTTCAGGCTATTCATGTCATGGAAGATTTTTCTTTCCCCCTCAACTATAATAGACATTTTTGCTGGGTAAAGTATTGTGGGCTGATATCTATTGTCATGTAGAACTGGGAATACCTTGGTCCAGGCTCTCTGGCTTTCATAGTTTGCATTGATAAGTCAGCTGTAATTCTGATGGGCTTTCCTTTGTATGTGACTTGTTTTTCTTTTGCTGCTTTCAGTATTCTCTTTGTTTGTATGTTTAGTGTTTTTACTGTGATATGTCATGGGGAGTTTCTCTTCTGATCCTGTCTATTTGGTGTTCTATGTGCTTCCTGTATTTGTATAGGGATGTCTGTCAATTTCGGGAAACTGTCTTTTACAATCCTGTTTAAGATCTGGTCAACACCATTAACCTGAAATTCTTCTCCTTACTTTATTCATATGATACACAGATTTGATGTTTTCATGGTGTCACGCATCTCTTGCATATTCCATTCCTGTGTTTTAAAAAACTTTCCATAATCTTTGCTTGAGTGGTCCAGTTCTTTGACTTTATCCTCCAGTGTTGATATTCTGTTTTCCATTTCATTCATTCTAGCAGTGAGGCTTTCCCCTGTTGTTTCAAGTTGGCTTATTGAGTTTTGCACTTCCTTCTTCATTTCTACCTGAGTTTTCTTCAATATTTCTATCTCTTCTGCGAATTCGTTCAGAAGTTTATCCCTATCTTCTTTTAGCTCTGTTTGTTCCTGTGTTCTTTAAATTCGTTGAATTCCTTGATCATGTTTATGATTGTTCTTTTAAATTCAGTGTCCTGGGTTATCTCTAGGGTGTTCTCCTTGTAGAACTCTTCTACAGGACTGGTGGAGTTTGGTGGGGACATAGTGTTTTGGCTTTCCATTATTCTTTTGCTGTGATTTTGGCATGTGAATTTCTTTTGTTGTTTATGATTCTGATAGGAGAAGTAAGTTGAAGTATGCTTCTGTTTGTATTACTGGAGTGCCTAGGTCCTTTCCTTGTTGGTTATGTAAAGCTGGTTGGCACAGGTTTCAGGTTCTCTCAGTTTTTATTTTGGAGGGAACCAATGGCTTCAGGTCCGCTATTCAGGAGCACCCACAGAAGCCCAAGTCAGGTACACTCTGGCTTCTTTCTAAGGTTTGGACCCCTATTAGTAGAAACTCAAGAGAAAATGTGGGAAATTCCCTAAGGAGGGGGTGATTTGGGGACTCTCAGTTGGTCTGCTGTGTTCTCAGCCCCTATGCCAGAAGGAGGCCAGAACCTGGCACTCTGTCAGTGTGCTAAGATCACAGCAGCTACACTGATGGAGGTCGGAGCCCACCTTCTCAGGCTGTCTGTTAGGATCTCAGCCTTAGCCTACCAAAGCCAGGTCTGCCCTGGGACCTTGGGAGGGGCCTCACAAAATCCCAGGTAGGGGGATGGGTATGGCACAATTAGGGGAAGCTCACCACCATGTGGAGGCAGGTTTGGGGGCTCTCAGGCAGGCTCCTGCATTCTCAGCCTCTATGCCAGAGGGAGGCCAGAACCCAGCACTCTCTGGAGGTCTGCTGAGATCATAGCTGCTACATCAATGGAGGTCGGAGCCCACCCTCTCAGGTTGTCTGCTAGGGCTAGAGGGAGGCCAGAACCCAGCACTCTCTGGCAGTCTCCTCTAGTTTTAAAGTAACAAAGTCTACAGTTTCTCTTTTATTTTGTGAACACAAAAATGATAGCTTGCAACCCAAAATCTGTAAAGAAACAGTTACAGTCCAAAGCCTTTTATCTGTACAATGATAATATCCCCGTTTATTCTTTGGAAGCATCTGTAAAGGGCCAAAACTACATATTGTTTGTTTGTAATACTGGTATACTCTAGACTACAGGATGAGGAAGCTTAGTCTTTTACTTTGTCTTCTTCTAGAATGTCCTTTATCATAGACTTTCTCTAGCCTTATCCTCATCCCTGTGTGCCCATGGACAGCAGTGGAGGAACTTCAAGCAGCAAGGAGGGGTGGGCAGGACTCCAGGCAACACTCAAAATGATAATCAAGTTCAGTAAATTGTGTATCTCATGCTATCAATACCTTATTTTATCCTAAATATACGATGTGCTTGTGCCCATTAAATCTTTTTTTTTTAATGTGTATGTGTCTACTGTTTGCATATATGGAAGTACACCCATGTCATGAAATACACGCAGAGGTCAGAAGAGGGCATCAGATCCCCTGGAACTGGAGTTACAGACCACTGTTAGCTGCCATGTGGGTGCTGCAATTCAAACCCGGGTCTTCTGCAAGATGTTCGTTCAGTGTTCTTAACTGCTGAGCCATCTCTCCAGTCCCTAGAGTAAATCTTATTCTATATACTACTCCAAGATATGAAATCATCTTTTTATTTGTGAAAAGATAGTATCAGTCAAAAATAAGCTTCCATCATCAGAAAATTTTCACTTTGCCATACTTTGCAAATTGAAAACTTCTGAAAAGATGTATTTAAGCTTGAGAGTGCTATACAAACAAACAAAAATGTCAGCACCTGCCCCCCTTACTCTGGTGTATTTAGTAATTTGGACAAACACTGGCTGTGGTGCTGCACACCTATAAGCCCAGCATGTGGGAGGAAGAAGCAGGAAGATCAACAGTTTGAGGCCAGTCTGGGCTACATAACCAAACTCTTAGAAAAAAACAAAACAAAACTTCTTTTCCCCCCAAGACAAAAACTGTATTCTAAACACTTGATTTCAATGAAATCTTCCTTATAGTTCTTGATAAGTATGATATCATTAGAGTATCTGTACTATCATACAGATGTTAAGTTTCAAGCATTTAATTTTTATTTAAGAATATAGTACTTACTCAAGGAAGAACCATGTAGAACTGCACAGTTGGGGCAGTGATACAAGTCAATATCAACAGCATGATGTTCTTCTACTCCAACACAGCTAAGATAAACAAAAACAAAATCATCATAGGAGTGGAAACACTTTACTTTGCAACATTTGGACTTGAGCTGAGAAATGCACAGCTCAAGTACAAATTTAATATAAAACAGAAGTACACAAAAGAATAAATTTTATTATCTTCTCACACCATTCACTTGCTAAATATTTATGGGGAGAATATACCCAAATATATGTGAAGCAGCAATAGAGACATCAGAAATAAACCATAAAATCTTCAACCACTGTGTCAATTCCATCTGTTCTGAAATTATTGTCAGTAAGATATGAGTCAAAACACTAAGTCATAATGAAATTCTGAACATTTTCAGCTGAACAATGAAAGTACTACATAACAGAATTCGTGAAATACAGCACTTACAAACAGAAATGCATATCCTTAAATAAATGTGTTTGAAAAAGGAAGGCTGACATTGTTGAGTTAAACATATATACCTCAAGACATTATCAAAAAAAAAAAAAATCCTAACATCGTTGAGGGAGCACAAAAGACCCCCCCCTAACAGTCAAAGCAATATTAATAGAAGACCAATGCTGGAAACACCACAATACATGACCTCAAATTACACTATAGAGCCATAGTAACAAAAACATCATGGTGCTCCCACAAAAACAAATAGTGCTGGGAAACTGATATCCACATGTAGAAAAATGAAGAGATCCATTATCTCTCACCTTGCACAAAATTCACTCCAAAATGGATCAAAGACCTTAATGTAAAATATCAAACTTTGAAACTACTGGAGAAAAATAGGCAAAGCACTTAAAGATATAGGCACAGGCAAGGACTTTCTGAAAAGGCCTCCTACAGCACAGAAAATAATCCAAGAATTGATAAATAGGATTGCATGAAATTAAAAGGCTGCTACCCAGCAAAGGAAAAGCAAAATGAAGAGACAGCCTACAAAACAGGAGAAAATCTGTACCAACTTTACATCCAATAGGGCACCAATACCTAGAACCTATAAAGAACCCTCAAAATTAAACACCAATAAACCAAATCATCCAGTCAATAAAAAGTTAATGAATAGAGTTCTCAAAAGAAGAAATATAAATTGGCAATAAATATTTGAACAGTGTTTAGCATCCTTATCAGGGAATTGTAAACTAAAATTACATTGAGAGGCTGGAGAGATGGTTCAGAGGTTAAGAGTATGTGCTGCTTTTACAGAGGACCTGAATTCAGTTCTCAGCATCCACCTCAGGCAGCTTGCAACCAGGGGATCCAACACTTCTATCCCTCTGCAAGCCCCTGCACTCATGTGCACATACCTACACACAACTACATACTCATGATTTAAAATAAAAATAAATTCGTAAAAACTAAAATTATAGCTGGGTATAGTGGCACATGCCTTCAATTCCAGCACTAGGGAGGCCAACCTGGTCTACATAGTGAGTTCCAGGACAGTTAGAACTACATAGTAACACTGACTCAAAAAAAACCAAAATTAAATTAAATTACATTAAGATTCCATCCCACTCCAGTCGGAATGACTATCAAGAAAAGAAACAACAAATGCTGGTGAAGCTATGAAGAGAAGAGAAACCCTTACACAGTGCTGGTGCAGCCACGACGGCAAATACTGTGCTGGTGCAGCCATGACAGTAAGCAGTGTGGTGCTTCCACAAAAAAATTAAAAACAGAACTGCAATATGACCCCAGCATATCTCTCCGAAGGCTCATACCAGAGTTATACCTGCACATTCATATTTATTGTTGTACTATTCATAATAGGTTAGGAAATGCAATCAGCCTAGATAACCATCAATCGATGACTGGATAAAGAAAAAGGCAAGGTGTAGGGGTGTGTGTATGTGTGTGTGTGTGTGTGAGACGCACAATCACATGGGTATCTGTGTGTATACACATATACATGACTGTGAAGGCCAGAGGTTAACCTCTGGTGTCTCTCCCCTCCTTTAAAAAAAAAATTATGGGGGCTGGAGAGATGGCTCAGTGGTTAAGAACACTGGCTGTTCTTGCAGAAGACCTGGGTTCGAATCCCAGCACCCACATGGCATCTAACAGCTGTCTGTCAGGGGATCTGCCAGCCTCTTCTGTCCTCCGTGGGCACTGAATGACACGGGTACACTTACTTACATGCAGGCAATACACACATACACAGAAAATAAAAATAATAAATAAAATATTTTTTTTAAAAAGCGGGCATGGTGGTGCATGCCTTTAATCCCAGCACTTGGGAG